GAAGACACAAGATTTACCCACTCTGGAAGAATGGCAGATGAAGATGATCGACTGTATGGGATTAGCAGAAATGACTGGCAGGATCCGAGACCGGGGAGAAGAGTCGGCGGAAGGAGATTGGAAGAAATTTAAGGACTATTTATGGAAATATTGCAAAATCAATGAGTGTTGAATGATGTTGGATAGAAATTAAGGGGTTCATAGCTGTAATGTGACAAGGGGGAAAAATAGGGTAAGGAAATAGGTTAATTTAAGGATTTGCTGAATTATCAAATTGAATTGGAATACAAGAAGGGAAGGTATGAGGAAGTCAGTGAAATATGTTATTGAAAAATGGGTATTGTGAACTTTATGTGTTTTTAAACTTTTTTGTCTTTTCTTCTTCTTTTTGTATTAAATTTGAAAACTTTAATAAATATCTTAAAAAAAGAAGAAGTGCCACATTTAATATTATATTTTGCTCCAAGCAAAGAGGATGCTCATCTAAAATGCACATAAATCCACAAGGAAGTCATGAGCGGGGCATATTCCCCTAAAATGCACATCAAAGGTGGCCTTCCAGATGTTGTTGAGGACCACAGCACCCATCTTCCCTGGCAGCTGGCTGGAGCTGATAGGAATTGAGGTCCCAAAACACCTGGAAGGTCACAGGCTCCCCAGTCCTGATATACATTTGTTACACCAAGAGGACAAAGCAGCCTTACAGAATGCATGTTTACTCAGAAACCCGTTGTGCATAGGATTGTAAACTTCAGGTGTAATTTCATACCTTTATAATTTCTACTGAAATTAATGGAATTTACTTCTGAAGAGACATGTATAGGTTCCGTTGTTAGCAGTGCTTTTTTTTCTTCAAAAAAACGTTTAGGGGTACTCTCATTTTGACTCAAAAAAAAATCACCATTTTATAGTTCAAATTGGGGAGGAAATACAGTAAATGGACAAAAGGACAAAGATTCACAAAATGTTTAGGGGTATGCGTACCCCTGCGTCTCCCCAGAAAAAAGCACTGGTTGTTAGTCTCACTCTGTTCATGTGTCCCACCATTATTATCATTTTTTAAAGTAGCTTTACTATGCTTATTTACCTGCAACACAGAGCTAGCTCACAAAAGCATTTGTTTTGTTTATACATTGTTAGCATCTCAGGGTGGCTTGCAAAAAAAGTTTAAATCACCATAAAATGAATCAAACCAAGAACATTCAAATGCCCCAAGATTTAAAAAAAAACCAGAATAAAAGCAGTCAAATGAATTTTTAAAACACAAAGCTGCATAAAGGCAACATCCAGAGGATTTAAAAGCCTACAAGAATTAATAAAAAGACTATAGCTGGAGCTAAAATGACATTAAGGCAAGCATCCCTGGGAGAACATTCCACAGTCAAGGAGCCACCACTGAAAAGGCCCTTTAGGGTGGTCATGTGTCCTACTTTACAGAACAGTTCTTTGTTTGAAGGAGCCTTCTGTCTGTAGGGCTGTGTGGCCCAAGTCTGCTTGAAAAATTAAAAAAAAGTAGAGAGCAGTTGTATTCTCATTTTGTATTTTTCTGTTGTGAACTGCCCTGGAATCTTCTGATGATGAAGAAGAAGAAGAAGAAGAGGTGTTTGGATTTGATATCCCGCTTTATCACTACCCGAAGGGGTCTCAAAGCGGCTAACAATCTCCTTTCCCTTCCTCCCCCACAACACTCTGTGAGGTGAGTGGGGCTGAGAGACTTCAGAGAAGTGTGACTAGCCCAAGGTCACCCAGCAGCTGCATGTGGAGGAGCGGAGACGCAAACCCGGTTCACCAGATTACGGGTCTACCGCTCTTAACCACTATACTGTACCACACTGGCTCTCATGAAGAGCAGTGTACAGATTTAATACATAAATAAAATGAAAATATTAAGAAGTGGGTCCCCAACTACATGTTTTGGCCAAAGGTTCAGGTATGAAAAAGTTGGAGACGATTGATAATAATAGCTGGATATGCCTCAAGGTATATTCCATATGAAGACAGGAGTGCCTGGCGTGCTCTGGTCCATGGGGTCACGAAGAGTCGGACATGACTAAGCAACATATTCCATATGCCTGTGAACAATTGCCTGTTAGCTAATGGTCCCTGGATATCACTTTGCTGTAGCAGCTAAGCAGATCTGGGTTTTCTCACTACCTGAATGGGAGACAATCTGGGAATGTGTGCTGCTTTGGATTTCATAATGGGTATAAATATAAGTAAATAAATAGTATTAGTTGACCTCATCAGACAGGCTGTGTTAAAGCTTAATGGGTGAGGGAACTTTGCATGTCAGGAGAGCAGTATTCACAATGCTGGTTTTAAAAGAAGTAGCTAATCCAAACAAAACCTTGTTTGAGAACACAGTTGCTATATTTTCTCTGTGTATCTTTTTCAGTGAATGCCTGGAAACCGGAAACAAGAAGACACAACCATTGCTTTTGTAAGCAGCAAACATTCCATCCATCAATTTCTCAAGTTGCTGTGATGTACGAAGGAAAGACACTAGCTCCACAATGTGGCCTTTTTGTAGCACTGCATCTGATTTTGTGTGTGGTACACACAAATGTCATATATGGTATTTCACTCATGTGACATAAGCATATATTGAAGAACCTCATTCCCTGTCACACCTGAATTTCTTTGAGTGTGTCTCCTTCACACTATTTGATTCTCAGTCATCTGACTAAAACTTGCTATTCTGACGCTGGTGAATCTGCTTGATTCCCTGCTCAGAGGGCAAGTTTTTTGGGGAGCTGAAGTACATCATCTTTACTGCAATGCTTTGTGTGTGGGGCTGCTTTTGAAGACAGTTTGGAAAATGCAGCTGCGTCACACTGGGGCAAGATGATCTGAAAGCATTACACCAATCCTGGCACAACTGCATTGGCTACCAATTCATTTCTGAGCCCAATTCCGAGTTTCAGTTTTAATCAATAAAGCCTTAAGTGGCTCAGGACATCAATACCTGGTAATTGTGGGGTATGAAATGACAGTCTATGTGTTGTATAGGTGCTTTGCATTTACTGATAAATTCCCTAGAAATGAAGGGTGCTTCTAGAAAGGGGTTAATATTACAGATGGGTCATTCTGATATCACAAAGGATCATTCTAGAGAGTTTGTGGCTTGAAAGTCAATCACCACAGTGACAGAAATACTTCTTGCTTCATTGGCAACAGTTTCAATTTATCAAGTTTCCCCTAAAAAGCGTAAACCTGGATTAAATTGGGAGGGGGGCGATATGTGTTCACATCTTGATGCCTAGGATATCATGTGAATGCGGCAAAAAACTCTGATCCCACAATAAACCCCTTTTTAAAGCTTCATCTTTTTGTTATTCATTTAACTTTTCTGAGGGCACTCAGCCTGGGAGATGACAACACCAGAAACCCACACTAACAAAATGTTAACCAGATGTTTTCAATAGCCAAAAATTAGGGCAGGGAGCAGAAAATGTGGCCCAATCATGCTAAAGTGGAGTATTTGCAGCAAACCTCCACTGAATAGCTTTTGTTGGAAGGATAATGATCCTTTGGCCTTTTCTGTAATCATAAGTATAAAAAGGTAAAGGTACCGCTGACCATTAGGTCCAGTCGCAGACAACTCTGGGGTTGTGAGCTCATCTCGCTTTATTGGCCGAGGGAGCCAGCATACAGCTTCCGGGTCATGTGGCCAGCATGACTAAGCCGCTTCTGGCAAACCAGAGCAGCGCACGGAAATGCCGTTTACCTTCCCGTCGAAGCGGTACCAATATTCTTATCAAATGCTGTGTTATTCGAAGCCAAATGTTTAAGCATTCTATCTGGTGCATAGGATCTTTGCTCGCACTAATGTCTGACTTCAAGTGTAAGTTGTGAGAAGGAATCAGTTCTTTAAAAGTATTTCTTAACAATCCATTAAAAGTAGGTTTCTGCTGCTGAAATGTTTTCCATGCATCTCCCTCATGTTTTGGTCTCATATAGGTACTGAAGCAAGTGTCAAGACCTAAGTGGCTGGCCATTGGTCTTATAACTTCTGCTTGGGGCTGCTAGATGTAATTGATGAATTTGTGTCATTGGTTCTGTGTTGATTGTAGATTTACTCCTTAATTGTTCAACTCACTTGTGTAAAAGCGTTCAATGTGGTGCAATGCAGACTTAGTCAGAAGTGAGTTCCAACGAGTTCTAAATAAAGGAGCACAAGACTGCAAGCCCTAGCATTTTCCAAAAAAGTACACATTTGCCTGAGCACAAAAAAACTCAGGGAAAAAAGAAGTTATTAATGGTGACCATTGGAGTGCAGCCCTGTGCATGTCTACTCAGAAGTAAGCCACTATGGTGTAGTGGTTTGAGTGCTAGAGAAGGACCAGGGAGACTGATTCAAATCTCCATTCAGCCACCAAGCTCACCTGAGCTAATCCCTATCAGCCTAACCTACTTCACATGGTTGTTCTGAAGATAAAATGGAAGCTGTGTGCTGCCTTGATCTAGTAAATGAATAAAACAAAGTCCACATGAATCCAATGAGATAATCCCCAATTAATTCTGTACTGCTCAGCGGCAGGAAAAACATCAGGAAAAACTTTCTAACAGTAAGAGCTATTTGCCAGTGGAACAGACTCCCACGAGAAGTGGTGGCCTTTCTTTCACTGGAGGTTTTAAGCAGAGGTTTAATGGCCATCTGTCATGGATGATTCCTAAATTGCAGGGGTTTGAACCAGCTGAACCTTGGGGACTCCTTCCAACTTTTCAGTCCTATGATTCTACACAGAGCACACATGAGAGCAAAATGTCCCGAGTTCAATCCTGTATGAGCGCGCCTCTTGCTTGAAACCCTGGCCAGCGGCTGCCAGTCCGTGTACACAACACCGAGCTAGATGCATAAGCAAGCCTCGCCTCTTCCTTCGCTCCGTCGCCCTAGCAACTCTTGGCTTTCGGTTTCGTTTCTCCCTCAGGCCGGAGAGAGATCACGGGAGGCAGGGGCGGAAGTGGAGAGGTGGGGAAAGGGACGGTGGTCGTCGTCTCCTAGCGAGGGCGGGAATCGGGCGGGTCTCCTCCTAGTAGTAGCGGAGGAGGAGGAGGAGCAGAAGCTTCGGCGGGAGCGCCGGCCTTCTGCAAAAGCTGACCCCCAGCCAGCATGGACCGCTACACTTCGCAGAGGCTGGCCGCCCTGGCCTTGCGGGAGCTGTGCACGTCGGGGGGCTGCCTGCGCCAGGACGAGCTGTGCCGGCGCGTGGCCCTCGGCGTGAGCGCGGAGCTCCTGGGCCCGCTGTTCCAGGACGCGCGCAAGTTCACGGTGGTGACCCGGGAGGAGGCCCCCTCGGCGGCCGAAGGAGGAGGAGAAGATGGAGATGCCCAGGTCGTGGTGGCCACCACCGGGGCGCGGCTGTGCCCGGAGCACGGCAGCGGGAAGTGCCAGGGCGACTGCCGGCAGCTGCACGTCTGCCGCTACTTCGTGGGCGGCGGGTGCCGTAACCTGGACGGCAGGTAAGGCCGGCGGAGACCCCCTTCAACCCCCCCCCCCAATGCTTCATCGGCTATGGGAAACGGCTATGTATAGTGAATACTTATCTACTTTTAAAAATTTTCACCTTTATTTTTTCTTTTTTTTCTGATATCTTTCATTTCACTCCTTTATTGTGAATAGCATTTTATAGAGGTATAAATAACTAAATATGAAAAGAGACAAAGTATTCTCTAACTTTTCCCCTTGGTTATATGTATTTTCTTTTTCTTTTGTATTTTCTTTTGTTGTAAATATGTATGTTTTCTAATTTGTACTTAATAAAAGTATTTTAAACAAAACAAAACCCCAAATGCTTCATCGCCGGCGTGTTTGTTCGGAAGCAAGACGCACCCCTCGAGTTAATGGGGTGGGGTTTTTTACTCCATAGGGAGCGTCGTGTAGGATTGCCGTGGGTGGGGAGCGGAGGGTTACTATCCAGGAAGGGGGTCGTGCAAGCGGGACAGCGACCCCACTCCCGCAAAAACTAGGGTTGCTATTGAATGAGCTTTGTTCGGACTTGCTTCCGGGTAAACTTTTGCGCCCAGGGTCGGGACCGTAAGAGTAGCAAAAGAATTGCGGTGCGTGGACGGGAGAAGCTGAACCGGTTTGTAGATCCCGAGCCCAGGAGCCGGATTGGGGCGGGGCGGGCAGCTCCGAGTTGTTGTTCAAGAGAGCATGTTTGAGCTGTGGGGGGCGAGACTCCTCCGTCCATCTTCCCCGACTTTTAAGTGTGGGGCGGAGCCTCTCTTGCTACCATTGTTCGAAGTCCTAATCTATACAGTAGTTTATGTGGACGTTTAAGGAAGTACGTACGGTTTTAAACGTTGCCTTTTTTGCATTCTGTTAGTATGTGCAATGGAAATAAGTTGAGTTTATCTTCTGTAGAGGGTTGCATAATTTTGAAGAGCCAAAAAGAGGACACATTTGCCGACTTTTACTTTTTACTATGGAACACCATACTTTTTACTATGGAACACCAGTACATGTCCTGTATGCAAATCATTCAGGTTTTTCACTATAAAAATTAAATTTGGTGGTCTTTGGTAAGGTGTCTTTGTCATTTTAATTTAATTTTTAAATGAAGTATTTAGCTTGCTTTTGTTATGCCCAGTTCCCAAAGACTTAAACGACCAGTCAAAGGACAGTTTGTGATTATTGCTGCCATTAGTTTTACAGTACATCATGTTTGCATACTATTATTAATGTCTTTTTCTCTAGACGGGACTCAAGGCAACTGATAGATAAAAATGAGAACTACTGAAAACGTAGGGGGAAAACCTCAAAACCCTAGCAGGTTCCTATAAGGGAATGCAGTCCTTCAGATAGTTTGGACCTAAGCTGTATACAAGTACTAATACATAGTGCTGTAAAGGAAATTGCAACTTTGGAGTTCATGAGTTGTTTGTGGCTGCTAAAACTACCACCATCTATCTTTCTTTTTCGCTATGTTTCTACCTCCTTGCTCAGGAGATCTTAAAACATAATGTGAACTCATTTTCCATGTTAGTCTGTTGCAGCAAAAACAACAGCCTTACAATGTCTTTAAAAAATAACCTTTTAAAATTTTATAAGCCTTTGTGAGACAGTCCACTTCATTTTGCTTGAACTCATGTGACACTGCTTGCTTTCTCCATTCATTTGTCCTGTCCTAATCATGCACTTCTCCTTTTTCAGGCATCTCTCGAATTTAGGGTAATTCAAGATGATGAAACTTGATAAATTGGGCTTTAAAAAACAGAACCCATAGTTTTACCTTCAACCTGTTTTTAACTTACGACTTTTATAATTTTGATGTATTTTTTATGTTCTGTGGAAACCCATTTAGAGGTTTCAGCAATTAACCTGTGTGTGTATATATATATATATATGGGACGCGGGTGGCGCTGTGGGTTAAAGCCTCAGCGCCTAGGACTTGCCGATCGAAAGGTCGGCGGTTCGAATCCCCGCGGCGGGGTGCGCTCCCGTTGCTCGGTCCCAGCGCCTGCCAACCTAGCAGTTCGAAAGCACCTTCGGATGCAAGTAGATAAATAGGGACCGCTTACCAGCGGGAAGGTAAACGGCGTTCTGTGTGCTGCGCTGGCTCGCCAGATGCAGCTTGTCACGCTGGCCACGTGACCCGGAAGTGTCTGCGGACAGCGCTGGCTCCCGACCTCTTGAGTGAGATGGGCGCACAACCCTAGAGTCTGTCAAGACTGGCCCGTACGGGCAGGGGTACCTTTACCATATATATATATATATATATATATATATATATATATATATATAATCCAAAATGCTGTTGGACAAAGATTGCTGAAACTGTAGTCCTATATGTACTTACCTGGGAGTAAGCCCCAATAAACACATTGATATTTATTCCAAGTAAATTTGCACAGAATTGGGCTGCATGATTACCTTTGGCTATGAACAACATGCAGCTTTAGTTCATCTTTGATGGTAAAAGCAGAATGCAATTACAAGCATCTTTAATGTTTTCGAAATTTACAGGAAGCCATGCAAGTTCATCCATGACTTTCATTCACCCCATAACCTCCCTGTCCTAAAAGAGCATGGGCTCGAAAGCTTAAAGGATGATGAATTGTGTCAGCTTCTGCTTCAGAATGATTCTTCACTCTTACCTGAGGTGAGGACTTTCACTCGTGAATGATGATACTTTTAATGAATCTCTAAACAACCAGTGAGCATACCAGATATCTGGACCTTTGGACCTTTCAGGAACTTGATTAGAGAACTCCAGCTTGTACTTCCGTTAATTTATTTTAAATGAAAGTGATTAGACCATGTAGCTGCGGTGTTCTACAGCTATTGTAAACTTGAGATAGCCATTATACTGTGTGAGCAAAACTTAACCAGCATGTTGTGATTTGAGTTCAATGTGTTTCTTTCCTGGTGAAAGGAATGTGCTTTTTGCTTGGCTTAGAGAGATAAGGAAAAGGTTACAATATGCCCTGCCTAAAGCATTGCAAGAATGCGATGAAATCCCTCTTTAATGATTTGTATGTGTATGCATCCCCCACATTCTTGAAAAGGATATGTCAGTTGGTTGTGTGTTACTACAGCCTTGCAAGTACTGTGGTACCTCAGGTTAAGTACTTAATTCTTTCCAGAAACTGTTCTTAACCTGAAACACCACTTTAGCTAATGGGGCCTCCCTCTGCTGCCGCACCGCCGGAGCACGATTTCTGTTCTCATCCTGAAGCAAAGTTCTTAACCCGAGGTACTATTTCTGGGTTAGCGGAGTCTGTAACCTGAAGCGTTTGTAACCTGAGGTACCACTGTAAGTCCTTCAGAAATTACTAGTGCAAATGCATGCCTCTTTGTTGGTTATTTTTGGTTCCAAATGGAAGGAGCATGTTTGGTAAATCTTCACTGCCTGATTGTCAGTATAGGCAATTGGCTGTTTACAAGGCTTTGTTGTTACTTAAGTTAGTTCTGCAGCTTATGATACTTCTGATGTGCTGGAGATGTTCTCCACTTCAGAGTGGTGGAATACAGTGGAGAGGTCTTCACAGTTGCTTCCTTGCACCTGTTTGGCACTTCAATGGCATCCGGTTGACCACTGTGAGAACAGGATACTGGCTTAGATGGGCCACAGGCTTGATCCAGCAGGCTCTTTCTATGCTAGTTGAAAACATTTTTCATTAGGGCATTCAGTGGCCTTAAATTGAATTTAGTTGATCTCTGCTATTATGGCTGGTTCTCTTTTGTTCATTTTTAAGCTGTTTGTTTATTTTATTTCTATACATTTCTGCCCAACAGCAAGTCAAGGAAATGTACAAGAAGATGAAAATTTAAGGCAGATTTAAGATTATAATACCTTGAGTTCAAGCACCAGTAGTAAAGGCGATTGCTGGGTTGTCTTGAAAAACCATATTGAAATTATGAGTGGAAAATAAATAATAAATAAAAAAGTTTATGGCTCAAGGGCCTCGGTGTAGCTGGATTTCTCATAATGAGAAGTAGTTAAGAGTCATTGGACGTGTTGTGTGTTTGATAATGAAACAGTGGTTGGGGAACAGCTGTCGCTCAGTGGTAGAGCACCAGCATTTTATACAGAAGGTCCCATGTTTGATCCCCAGCAGCTTCAGGTAGGTCTGGGAATGTTTCCTATCTGAAATCCTGGAGAGTTGCTAGGCAGTACTTCGTGAGAAGGACCAATGGTCAGACTCTATATAAGATGTATTAATTGCCACATGATGCTATAAATGGCTTTGCCATGAATATTTGGAGGAAATGGGTCTACAAGTGCTTACTTCTTAGCAGCAATAGCTGGGAATGAAATGGCCATGATTGGACGCAGGGTGTACCTGGAGCTGGTGTCAGTTGCCATCTTGCCTTGGGAACTTCCTTGAAATCTCACTGGCTGTTTAGTCCAAGACAGGGTGCTGGCTAAAATGTGCTGCTCTTGTAATCCAATTACTTCCATGTGTTTTAATGATTTTATGTACTGTGGATGTAGATTTTGGTGCAAACTGTAGTGTTTTCAGGTGTGTTGTCATTGTTCTGAGGGGGAAATAAAATAAGTAAGTTGGAATGGAAGGCAAAGATTGGCACCTGTGGCGTGTCATCTCTGCTTCACATTTGCTCAAAAGTAGAGGAAAAATCATCTTGGGGGTTAAGCCAGAGGGCCCTTGTTTCATTTTAGTAATACAGTGCTATTTTTCTAGGAAAAGTGGTGGTGGAACTCACCATGAACCCCTCCCCTGTTCTCTTAGAATGGCAATGGTGCCCACCTGAGAGGTGTCACAACTGAGTTCTGGCTGGAAAAAAAAGCCTTGGTAATAAGAGATGTGAAGCCTCCACACCCCCCCCCCCAAAAAAAAACCTGGGTTGGAGAAAAATTTAATCCACCCTTTCCAAGACTTCACATTTCTAGTAACAAGTATTCTGTTACAGAACATCTGTTGTGTTTGAATATTACTGTTTATGCAAGTGAGTTAGTAATGAAAGTTATCTAATTTTGCCTGGCAGCAAGGGATAAAACTCTGCAGCTTGCTTCCTCTTAGGGCGTAGGCAGTGTTAGAAACAGATATATAAGCTAATTGCCAAATGGCAGCTTAAACCTAGGTTATGGTCGTTGCAATGGAATGTCTAGGCACCCTTTTTTACCATGAAATTCGTTATTTATTATCAAAGCAGTATGCAACACATTAAAACATCAAATAAAACAATCCAGAATAAAAAAGTTCAAGCTTCAATGAAGATATTTCAGATCCTTCTCTAAGTGACATTTTGCCTTCCCCATATCTATATACCTACTTAATTTATAGAGCTGCCCCATAGCAGATGTGCCCTAGGAAGCCAGTGTGGTGTAGTGGTTAGAGGAAGGGTCAGCAACCTTTTTCAGCCGCGGGCCGGTCCACCGTCCCTCAGTCCATGTGGTGGGCTGGACTATATTTTTTGGGGGAAATGAACAAATTCCTATGCCCCACAAATTACCCAGAGATGCATTTTAAATAAAAGGACACATACGCTGATTCCCGGACCATCCGCGGGCCAGATTGAGAAGGCGATTGGGCCACATCCGGCCCACAGGCCTTAGTTTTTCTACCCCTGGGTTAGTGTCGGACTAGGACCTGGGAGATCAGGGTTCAAATCCCCACTCAGTCATGAGGCTCACTGGGTGACTTGGGGCCAGTCACAGCCTCTTAATCTACCTCACAGGGTTATTGTAGGAATTAACTGAAGAGAGGGGTGAACCATGTGCTCCTTGGAGAAAAAAGTGGGAAATAAATGCAATTTCTCATCTGCTTACCTGCATAAGAAAGCTGGAAAGGCCAGCCAGATGGAGATGTCCATTGCCAACCTGGCGTCCAGAGATCTCCAGGGGGTGGCGCCTGGGGGAATTTTGGAACACTGGGCGCATGTGTATGACGGAGTAATACTGACACAACTGAAGGCCACAACTGAAAAGTCACCATGTTGGCAACTAGATTTGTAATTCTTAACATGCTGGGCCAGTACGATAGGTTGGTAATGACACACATTGCAGCCCCCAGGACTGCTGATTCTAGACACAGAAAGGAGGAGTCCAAGAAAGCCAAGTTACTTATTGCTCAAAAGCTTTCCTCCTCAGATTTTGAGAATTAATCATTCCTAATACTAAATCATAGCTTCTAACGCCTGAGCACATGAAGCCAAAACAGCACCACCCATGCACAAGAAACAGGTATGAACAGGCTTGAGGTTATTCCCAAGGTTTCCAGTTATGCAAAAAACCTAGGGGGGGGGCAGACAGCCCATTACAGTGGTACCTCGCAAGGCGAATGGCCTCGCAAGACAAAAAACTCGCTAGACGAAAGGGTTTTTTGTTTTTTGAGCTGCTTCGCAAGACGATTTTCCCTATGGGCTTGCTTCGCAAGACGGAAACATCCTGCAAGTTTGTTTCCTTTTTCTTAACACCGTTAATACAGTTGCGACTTGTCTTCGAGGAGCAACTCATAGCACGCGGTGTGGTAGCCTTTTTTGAGGTTTTTAAAGACTTTGGTGATTTTTGAAGCTTTTCCAAAACTTTCCCGACACCGTGCTTCTCAAGACGAAAAAAATCGCAAGACGACAAAACTCGCGGAACGAATTAATTTCGTCTTGCGAGGCACCACTGTATAACTCATTGGCATGGAATGTTGGCTGACTAAGTTGGGATGTGGAGACTGACAGCCAAGTGGGAGGAAGTATAGAATGAAGAGACAGGAAAGGGAGGAGACACTCCAAAGCAGGCCAATAAGGACTGAGCATGTTCAGTGAGTGCTGTGACAAGACAGAAAACAGATATGAATAGAATAGAATAGAGTGCTGGAGCTCTGAACAAAGTCACTCCACGCTGCAGCAGTTTTGTTACAGGGCCACATTCACGTTGCTCTTGCTGCTTGAAAACATTTGGGCATTGCTAGTCCTGTGTTTACATCTTACTCTGGTCTATTTGCTTTAAATGAATTTATGTGTCTTGATTTTTTCCCCTTCTCCTTTTTGTTGTTGTTAGATATGTCCATACTATAACAAAGGGGACGGGCCCTATGGATCTTGCACCTTTAAGAAGATCTGTGTCAAACTCCACATTTGTCAGTACTACCTCCAAGGAGAGTGCAGGTTTGGGAGTACCTGCAAGCGCTCACATGACATTGCTAACTCGGAGTGTTACGAGAAGCTGGAGAAGCGAGGAATGAGCCACGCCACGATCACCAAAATTCCCTTGATCTACAGGAATGCATATGACATCAAAAATAGCTCAACAGCATCAACTAGCAGAGGTTGAGTGCTTCATTCTCTTTTATAACACTATAGAAATCCCCAATATAGCTAGTACAGTAGCTGCTACTCGCTGTGAACGTCAGGAACAGAAGGTTAATAATTATAATTATAATAATTTTATTATTTATACCCTGCCCATCTGACTGGGTTTCCCCAGCCAGATCAATATAGCAGTACTGTAAATATATTGATAATCTTTTGCCCAGTGAAGGAGATGGGGAGGCAGGGTCTGTAGCTGCTGCACTGCGAGTTTTAAGAGCTATCTTGGCTTGCCTTCTAAGAAAGGAGAAGAGAACCTTTCAGATAAAATAGTGGGGCCATGTGACCAATTATTAAGTTGGCCAGCAGTTTGGAATTGTGAACATAGGAAGCTGAGTTGTACAGGAAGAATAAACAATAAAATGAGTAAAATAAATATGGCATAATAGTTGGAGGCAGAACACTGGTCTGTTTCAGCTAATTGGCCTTTTTCACATCAAAGTAATCTAGAGTCCTTGGGAAGAGTTTTAACAACAAAACTTCTTTGTGGGCTGTAACCAGTTTCTTTAAATGCACCTCTGACTGATAAAAGCTCATTAACCAGAGCAGCTGCTTTCATCATGAGTTCTTCATTGTGAACATGACCTAATGTTATATATCATATACTTTTTCAAAATATGCAAGAAATACCCTTATAAAGGACGCAAATAGGAAACTTCACCCATTACATTCTCCCACTCTTCCCAGGGCTAGAACAGCATAACCACTACTTTCATGAAACATAATTTGTAATAGCTGTGAACCTGCTACCTCCTGTGACTAATTATTAGTAATTGGAAACAGATGTTACAAGAATGCAGATTGGTCAGACTTACTGATGAGTCCATTAGGATTTACAGAGCTCAAAAGTAGAAACCCGGTATGCCTCACATTTACTTAATGTTACATGGGGATCTTGCCCTTTGTACAAATACCTGTGTACTTGTTCTGTAGCAAAAAAAATCTTTTTAACTCCTCAGGAGTAGGCTTGCATTAATTAATTGGGCTTCCATGATGTGTGCAGAGATTTTGCTTTGATGCTCACAGAGCAAACATTCTAGTCTCTTCTGGTTTGCCCTATATACGTTAAAGGACAAGGACATAATAAGATGTATAACATGAACTGATTGGCCAATAGTGGAACTTTTCGATACAAACCTGCCATCTACAGAATTGAATGCATTGTTTAAGTTGTAATGATTGTGCACAATATGAACAACTGGCACATTTAAAATGTCTAGTAGGAATGACTATTATTCAAGCACTGACTTGAGGAAGACAGCTCTAACTCTAACTGGGTTTTCAGATCTTGAAGTACTCAGGAACCCAGAGCAGTCAAGATGTTTATTTGCTAAATTTCTATACCTCTCTTCATCTGAAAATCTCAGGGTGGTTCACAACATAAAAATACGAAAAGAGAACCCAAATTACATAATAAAATAAAAACAAACCAATAACCCCCTTCCCACGAACACATTTAAAAAGCCATGCAATGTTCATCAGTCTAAGGTTAAACCATAAATGTTTTCACCTGGCGCCTAAAGATAAGTAATGATGCTAAGAATATGCTAACAAAACAAAGTGTTGGAAGAAGTATTCATCATACCAGTTGAAGATTACATGCAATAATTTTGGGTTTACTTATAAAGCCTGCAGCCCACTTGCACGGGCTTTGCAGTCCAATTACCGGGTGCAATCCGCAGGTTGCAAAACGCTGAGCTAGAGTCTGTGTTTTCCTGCTTTCTCAGAAAGAAAATTGAGCAGCGGTCAGGTACCATCAACCACAAGCAGCAGCGAAGATTCAGATTTTATATGCTTATACCACATTAGGAAAAGTTGTAGCTTTCAAGGTAAGTGAAATAAAACCTGTGGTGGGTTGTATCAAGCTTTTCTTTTGCATGTGTGTGTATGTATCACTGTCCGTCCCCGTCCCCCTTGTTTTTATGCACTTTCAAACTTTGCAAAAATGACCTATTGGCATCATTCCCTAAGAAATTATGATTTAAGCTTTATTATTTATTTCGCCTTGAGCCACTTGAAAAATAATGTCGGCTAGTTTGCTAGCCTCTCTCTTTTCCTTGGCCCTGCCTGCAACAGATGCACTTTGAAGAAGATCCCTTTATTCTGTGCTTGAGCATATGAATTGAGTGGTGTCTCTTAAATGGCCCAACATGGACTATATGCAATAATAATTCCCCTTATGCCAGGGGTGGGGAATCTCTGGCTCACAGGCCAATATTGGTCCACCAGGGGAGTCCAGTTTGGCCCATGAGGCCATTTCTCCTCCAATCATGCCAGCGTTTAAATCATCTGATGCCAATGTGTGACATCAGATACTGGCTGGGAAGGCAAGTCTCAGTCCTGCTGGGTGTTGGTTTGCAGGCTCTGGCAGAGAGCAAGATGAATGAAACCCTTCATCAGAGAGTACTGTATTGCTGGATGCTGCTTTGCCAGTGTGTTACCCCATGATGTCAGATGATTGACGTATGGGTGGCCCCACTCACTTGTCATTGTTGACCTACAGAGTGGTGGGAGACAAAGATCTGATCTGCTTGGTAGAAGAGGTCTCCCATCCATTTGTGATGGGAAGGTATTATTTGCAAATATTTAAGCATCCTTGCTATTCTGTTTTCTACCGTGTTGATTTATTAAGTGTTTACTAAACTTATCAGTTTACTTTTGGGGCTTAAACCCCCCCCCCATGTTAATGGCCCAGAATAAGACCTTGTTATACCAACTGCTCAATATTCTCAGTAGAGAGGTTACATTAAGTAAAATATTTGAATGTTGAATGTGTATGTTTATGTCTAGAGCAGCATTTCCCAAACTTGGGTCTCCAGCTGTGTTTTTGGACTACAATTCCCATCATCCTTGCAACTGGTCCTGCTAGCTAGGGATGCTGGGAACTGTAGTCCAAAAAAACAGCTGGAGACCCAAGTTGGGAAACACTGGCTTAGAGGCCATTAAATATACTGCTGGATGTTTAATGGTTCTTACATTTTTACTGTATTTGTTTAAAAACAAGTTTCAAAAAAAAATTCCCTCTGTCAAACCAACTTTAAATAAAAATGTGCTGCTGTTCTGTTACTCCTACAGTAGCATTAAGTTTCTGCACTTCAGCACCATATTGTAAATGGCTGGCTGTTAGATTAACTTCAAGGTGACTAAGCTGCCCATATGACTCACTGCAAAGTAGGCAGGCTGAATTCTCAGCAGGCAGCAGTAGAATCAATTCTAATAGAGACAGGGAAGTATTAATACCTTTATACTGGCAGGGCTACATCTGGACTATCATGCCATCAGCAACCATTGCACCTGGCTGCTTTGGAAGGTGAGTCAGCCAAGCCCTCCCCCAGAACTGCTCCAGCCATTCCACGCAGTTGTTATGTAACTGGTTTAGACAATATCTTCAGCCTGATCTGGCTCATGTGTAGCAATGGGGGAGTATAAACCTGTCCTCCCCTCCCCCTTGGTCCATCTGGAGATGGCATGTTCCTAGTAGTCCTAAAATCCAAATGCTTTTACCTGTGCATAATATAACCTGTAGGCCAGTTTCAGGTGTGCTGTCCTACATTTCATGCCATGAACAAGGTCCAGATGATAGGTGCTTACCTTCCTCTTCCCTTGCGGTTCCTTTTTTTCCTTTTGTGTCATGTCTCTTGGTTTGCAATCCATTATTTTAAACTGCAGACCACCTTGAGTGCTTGAGTACACCATATGAACGTAGTAACTTCAAATGATAAATGTCTTGGTTGTATTTGCATGTTTAGTATGAATGTAGATAAATCAATCCTAAGTGAGCCATGGATTTGCAGGCTTCCCTCTCCTCAACTGGATGGAGACAACTGGTTAAATGGAAAATTCTGAACGCCTTCTCCCAGCTTTCTCCCTGCAAGCATTTGTCGTTCGCTTCACATCCTGTATATTTAGCGCCAGCACCTCAGCGTTTCTTCTGTAAAGCCCATGGGTAGATGCCCAAGGGCTCTAACACAACTTGGTTTTATTTGTCTAGATAAGTGTATTCGAGATCACTTCCATTTGCCATACAGATGGCAAATACTTAATGGGACCCAGTGGAAAGATCTGAAGGATATGGAGAAAATTGAACAGGCCTACTGTGACCCAGTTATTGACAGGTATAGATACATTAATAATACGTTCTTGTTTGGCTCTGAATTTTAGTGGTACAGGTCTCTTTGCTGTTTGTTTATATTTTCTTTAGTAATTAACTCTGCTGGTAGATTACTACTTGAATGTTGTATTTTGTCTTTTTAATGGCTTAACTGCTTTTGTAGTGCACAGAGCCTTGATTTAAGCTGGTGGGGAAACATTTGAAATCGGCTTAGGCTTCATGTGGGGAAAAGAACCATATTTGTGCAGTCTTAGAAGTCATCTTAGATTCATGGAAGTTTTTGTTTTTTTCATCTTGATGTTGAAAGGGAGGGTTCTAGGTCTCAAGATGGCAGAATGGGATTTGCAGTTGTGGTACCTGCATGCATGCATTTTTAAGACTTGGGATATGATCTGACTTTAACTGTGAAATACCCCACTGAAAGTGAGGGCAGATCCACACCGTACATTTAAAACACGTTCAACACACATCTGAAGCACATGCCTTCCCCCGAAGAATCCTAGGAACTGTATATTCACCTGCACAGAGCTACAATTCCCAGCACCCTTAACAAACTACAGTTCCCAGGATTTTCACGGCAACATCATTACAGAACTTCATGGAGCTAGTCAAAATCGACTAGTCACTATTGTTAGGAAGAAAGCTAGTCTGGGGAGAGAGAGAAAAAAGCAATAGTGCTGCAGCAGTAGCCAACTGGGGCAGTGCATCTGTGAAAAACAATCTAAGCTTCAGGGAGTTTTGGGGAGAAGCACACCAGCCTCCTGGAAACTTCTTCATGAAAAAGGGAGAATTTGCAGTACAGTGTCACTGCTTTAAATGCTTTTAACAATGGAATTACTCTTGGTTAAGGGTGGAATAAAAAAACACCATGCTGGCTTGCAGAAAGTAGCAGATCTCAACATTATTAGTAGTAAAGAATATTTAGTTCTTTGTAAATCTTTCAAGTGCACTCTAAACCCCCGCTCAAAACCCAATTGTTCACAGAATTGTCTACAACAGCGCTGCAGACATCATTTTCTCCAGTATGACTTGTGGCACTGCCAAAATTAGACGGCTCTCCACTGCATCTTCTGTGACCATGGCGCCTCACTATATTCTCACAACTGATTGGATCTGGTACTGGAAGGATGAATATGGGGTGTGGAATGAATATGGAAAGGAAGTAAGTAACATGGGATCATGTTGCGCTGAAGCAAGTCATATTGTGGTGACCCTTTTTGAGCATTGTAACCTGGTGCAGATAGACGAGCTTGAAATCTAGTTGGCATCCCTCTCTCAGCAATTGTCTTGCTTCACAAGCTGCTGGAACATTTTTCTGCGTAGTCTTCCTTGAAGTAGATCAGAACTCTGTTTAAGACCACAGCTGTGGGTCAGATTTATTTATTTGGAACATTTCTGCCCAGTCCTTCAGTATTGCTGTTCCCAAAACAAAATAGGAAGCATTTTTTTTTAAAAAAAGTGCAACAAATAAAGCAGGAACGGTACTAAACAAAAAACAAAAATAACCAAGAGCCTTCTTGCTGGTGTTGCCACTGTTACAGAAGGTTTGCCCCAAGGAGGCTCACCTGGTTCTGCCTTTGCAGTCTTTGTGGTGCTAATTGAAGATCTTTTTAGTTTCTCAGTGGAGTTTGTGCCTTTCGACTACCTGATTTTGCCGATCTTTGAAAATCTATTCCACTTAATGGAGAAACACTGTCTTGCTTTCTAGCCATTCCTTGCCTCTCTAACGTTCTGAGCAGTTGTTGCAAATCCATCCCAGGCATGCTTGCTTATAAAGGGCGAATATTTTTTTGTACAGTCCAGTATATCTCACGCTTTAGACCCCTGTAGATTGTAAGGTTTCCTCAAAGAAAGTTCTTGGCTATCTATTTTTAAAAGGGGATGTGATTTCTTCCCTGCTGCTAGGACGTTGATCACTCTGCCGCCACAGTGACCTGCTTTGACTTGGAAAAAGCCTATCAGTCTGAAGCATCTCCAACACTCGCGTTTTCAGCTGGAAAACACAAATACGAGCTTGATTTCAAAGGTAAGTCTCATTGAATCAACTGAGGTGTGCTTAAATACAATCTGCTGGAACAGGGGCAAGGAACACTTTGTGGGCCAGATTTGGCTTGGCATGGGTCCCAGTTTTGCCCACCTGTGAGGCGTTCTCAAAGTAAAGGAAGGATTGAACTCTGATTAATAAGAATACACACAGAGGCTTGAACCAGCAAGACTCTGGGAAGGGTGCGTATAATAGTCTCTGTCCACCCCCTGGCCCAGGTCGTTTTATTCACAAAAGAACATTTTACAGAGTGCTCTTAAGAACCAATCAGATTTCTTCTGAGCATTTCAACAAACCCCACGTGGGGACAAAGTTAAACTACCAAAACTAATTAAGCACGCATACTTTTGAGGTAAACAACACAGAACTACAAAGGAGTGCATTTGGCAACCCTGGAGGTGATAAACAAGCAATATACATGATAAGGATGGCCAGGAAGACAGCGATCACGTGAGATCTGTTTCCTGGCCCTAAGATTAACATATCAGAAAAGCTACATCAAAGAAACCTGCCCACTATCTTTATGACCCAGGATGCCTGCCTGGCGAAGCAACTGGAAGCAACTGGGCTGCATACGTGACTTGTCAAGAAAGAGAAATGGGCAGTAGAGAAAATGGCCAGAGATGCACAGGGTTGTGGGATTTGATCAGAAATTATTGTCAATGAATTAAAGCCAGTCAACACAGCGCATTCATCGTGGACACAATGGCTTGATGCATATTTAATAATTCCTCATAGTAATCCCATCTGACCCCACACTGGATATTTGCACTCCTACACACCTGTCAAATGTGATGTCAGGTGTGCAGCAGGTAGAGACACAGCTGGACCCACGTCATGCATCATATCCATGCAGATGTCTAGTTCTTTGGAAGGCTTTGAAGTGCATTCCAAACCCTTTCTTTAAACCCTGATGTCGACAGAATTCTCTTCCCTGCTGCTGGGGGAAGCTCTACCCATGAAGAAAACCGGCTTGAAATCACCACCCATTAGTTGATAGGTGGTGACTTCAAAGTCTGCTGATCAGCCCTGCACGGGGCTCTTCGTGAGTCCCAAATCCCATGAAACATTGCATGATGTCATTGTGACATCAGGTGATGGACAGGGACAGGTGTGTGGCCTCTTGTCATATTTGGCCCATGGGAGGTAGGGGAGATAAGGATCTGGCCCTTGCATGGTGCTGCCATATACTGAGCTAGACCATTGATCCCTCTAGCCTGGTAATGTATACTTAAAAAGCTCTCCATAGCAGAGGTCCTTCCTAGCCATGCTATCTAGTATCTTTTTTTTTTTTTACTGTAGCTGCTGGAACCTTCTGCTTGCAAAACATATGCTCTACCATTGAACTAAGGTCACACAATGGCCACATTCAGATTAACATATTTCCGCCTAATAAACCAAGGTATGAATGAGCCTTGTGTCTCTGCATGCAGCCCTTTACTTAGGTGAGCAAACAAAATCAGGGGGACTTCTTCCAAGCCATGGCTTGATATCCTTGCTTGTTCTGAAGTTGGTAACCATCGTTTCCTGGTTTGGACTATAGTCAGTTGTTCCTTGGTTCATTTCAAAGAAGAGAGAAGGGGCTGCATGCATAGCCAGAAGAGTAATTCATATTTTGTTAAGCCAAGATAGAAGAATTCCTCCTGTTGAGCAGAGGGTTTTTTGTTCTGTTTATGAGAAGGCGGTGGTCTTTTCTGGGTGCTTAGATGGCTTCTGTGATACAGGTATAGAATGGACCATGCATGGAGATCTATCTTCTAAATCAGGAGTAGATAATCTCTGCTTCAGAAGCCAAATAGGCCTTCTTTCCATTTTGCCCCATATGAATTGGTTTCACCTCTGCTTCAGAAGCCAGCGATGAAGTTTCCTGCAGATTATATTCTAAAAGATTTTGAAGGAAGGAATGTTCTCTAGAGGTTTTCTGGCTCTTCTCAGTTTTAAGTTATAAATCGGAACCAGTGGTGTTCAGATCTCTTTTAAGAGGGAGTATAAATGACTTTGGCAGCAGAATATCTTTTTAAATGGAATAAATGTTCTTCTGTATGTAAGCACTGTTAAATATTTCTGTGGCTTCCCCCTCCTCCCCAGCCATGAAACAGAAAAACCTGCGTTACCTGACAGAACGAAGTGTTCGAAGACGACCAAAGTTTGTGTCTGTAAAGGAAGTAGAGAAGAAGAAGAAAAGGTTGGTGACCAAAGTCTGTACTGTATAGAGATTATGCACTACAAAGGACATCAGTGAGGATTTCAGGAAAGAAGGGAGCATCTAATCCTTGCTGTCTGCCTTTCCCATTGTCGCCACAACCTGTAATAAGGCCTGGCCACTGTGGCTGTTCCATAGCTTTGAGTTCAACAATAGAGAACAAAGTGCACAGGGACAGACCCTTTGAATAAAGGAAATCCTAAAACACCTACAGAGCGTTTTGCAATAGTTGAGAGTACCAACCAATCTCAGTATTTTGTCTTCTAGGTTTTTCCCCCCTTCCTGTTGTGGACCTTTATTTTAAGCGAGAGGTCTGCAACTGGAGGCTCCTGGGAGAGCCTGTCCTCTAAAGTGAGCCAGTGTAGTGTCGGGCTAGGATCTGCGAGACCAGGGTTCAAATCCCTACACAGCAACGATGCTCACTGAGTGACCTGGGGCCAGTCACTCACTCTCATCCTACCCTAATGCACAGGGTTGCTGTGAGCATAAATGAGGAGGGGAACTCTGTAAGCTACATTTTGCTCCTTTGAGGAAAGGTGGGATATAAACATAAATAAATAAAGGATTCTGGAAGGAAAAGAGGTGTGGAGAACTTCGTATCCACGGCAGGAATGTTCCTTTAGGGCTGGCCCAGCTCTCATCACTTGCTTTTCAAACCAACTTCCTAGGAAACGCGAGTTGCTGATCAGGGTTTTAACCACCTGATTAGACGGAGAGGTTATGATTCTGGCACGGGTGTTTTGCTGAACAGGAGCTTTAATTCCTCCTTAATTTAATTGGTGTCTTAACACTTGGTTTTAAGGCAATATTCAAAACTTGAATGTGTTCACTTAGCTACATATTCAGCAGGTGTGTGTTCCCTCAGCAGCTTAATATTATATGTAAGCATTAATTCTTAATTGCTTGATCTATTCCCATCGCAAAGTGGGGCCAAGCAGTCAACAGGAGACAACACGCACATTCCAGCTCACTGGGACCAGGCAGCCTTGCCAGAACTTGGATATAAGGTAGGATACTCTGAAGTGTGTGGGGTCAGGCTCTCCCTGTAATGCCTCAATACACAATATGACATCTTCCCTACTGACATTATGTCAAGATGTGCAAGATGATGATTAGCTTCTGCCAAAGGGAAAGGGCAGCTTTAGCACTCTCCTTGGCAGATTCTGCGCTCCAGAACTATTCGCTTTTACTCACATCTTTTCAGATTAGTTTAGTCTGATTATTGCAGAACCATAATTTGTGTTTTGGCAAGTTGATAGGATGAGAGATGTGCATTATTATCTATTTCCCTCCTTCGTAGCTTTCCTTTTCATCCCTCATGGCTTCCATAAAGTGATATCTAACCTATCCAATAAAATTCAAGAACAAAACCAGTAAAATGGAACATTGGGGAACAATGTTAGCAGTTATGTACCCCTTCAAAGAATATAAATGTTTTGCCAGTCTCCCAAAAGTCAGGAGAAAGGCAAGATGCATTAGCCAAATGGTTTGTGAAGATGCAAGGGGTGTGTGAGGATACAGCATTAAATACTGTCTTTGAAGGGTTCCCTGACTTGATAAGTGTTCCCTGACTTCTCCCATTCAGGAAGCCACTGCACCAAAGAATTAGGGTGAGTGTAGATGAGAACTCTGTGCCTTGCCATTCAGAAAGGTAGCTAAAAACCTACTGTGTGATAGCAGGGCTTATATCTGTGTTCCATATCTAGTAACATCCTGTTGCTGAACAACTGTGTTTACAAGGAGCACATCTCTCAAGCCTGATACCTTCTATACTCCTGAACCAACAGATAAAGATTAAAGAATAACAAAATAGATCATATTTTAAGAACGATTCAGCATCAGTAGTCTTATGCTTTGCCCCAGAGATGAGGATGACCCAAGATACTGTCTTTTAAATGTCTGGTCAAAAACCTATCTCTCCTTCTCCTCCCGCCATCACTATTGAGGGGCCTTGCACCTCTGGCCTGCTACTCCAAATCTTCTTTATGCACATTTGGAATTACCTTTGCTGCATGGGTTACTCTTGCTGCCGTTTTCATGAAGCATCTTTGTACCTTTTGCCCTGCAGCTGATCACCCTTCTCCCATCTTCCAAGGAGTACAGAAATGTCCAGGTTAATTTTCAGCGCACGATGCCAAAAGCATTGATTATGAGTATCAAAAGAATCCAGAATTTGGCTCTGTGGGAAGTATATCGGTGGTAAGTGCAAATTCATTGCTCTGGTGTTACGTAACTGGGTTTCTCTTTACTTTTCCAAAGCCCAGATTTACTGCTGCGTAGCAGAGGTCCGAAAACATTCTTGAGTGCTGGATTGAAGTCCTCTTGTGTTCCTCAGTGTTTAAATACTCAGGCAGTGTTCATAGAATCAAAGAACTGTGGAGTTGGAAGGGACCATAAGCGCCACCTAGTCCAACCTCTTGCAATGCAGGGATATTTTGGTGTTTGGGCCAAGTAAGAAGATGATAGGACAGCCATGCCTAAATTTATTGCAAGCGTCTAAGCTTGAGATAGATCCAGGACCATGGTGTTGAGGAGGGCAGGGATGGGGGCAGTTCCAAGTCTTTTTTCCTTGCCATTTCCCCATCTATCCTCCCTCCTTTTTGTTTCCCCCTTGGGGAAAACATACACATACCCAACCAGCCCCCTCTGAGGTCTCTGAGATACTGCAGGTGTGCAAGTATCCAGGTGGTCGATTTTGCACAGAACTTCCCATCAGAAGCTTTGAACTAGGCCACAGTCCATTTTGGAAGTTGGGAGGCTGCTTCGCCACCACGGTACAATGTTTGTGCCTGTGCTTTTGCTTCACAAAGACCCTGACTTGTTTGTGTGTAGATTTCAGTTCTGTTTCTTTTGCAGTAGTTGAAACAGGAAGCAAAACTGAAAGTAGTAAATTATGTTGCTGTTTCTTTTCCTCAGAGTTTTGTCTTGTTTGCTCTGTATATGAAACCAGTTTTGATAATCTGCTCCAAGTGACTGCTTCTCAGTTTTGGAACTGTGTTCACATTGTTATAGGAATATATATGTGCCTCTCATAAGTGGCCACTATGTTTTCTACATATGCTGATTGGCGACATCTATAATGCTATCTCAGAATGTCATGTCAGAATACAGGAGTGTTGCTCTCTTGATTATTTCTTAATCCAAGCACATCCCTTTAGGCTTGAGGTGGAAGAAAGTGATCTTAAGATACTCGAAAACAACTTCTGACAGGCACCATGCATGCATTTAGATATTGGATCTGAGCTCAAAACACTGTTGAATTGTGTAAAATCACATTAGTGTGGCTGGGTTGGGCAGTTGGAAGGGAACAGGCAGCCCTTATAGAAAGCTCCTGCATTAGTTATGAATGTTTAGCCTCTTGCACCAAAACATATGACGATGACTTAAGAAATGTGTGATTTACTTGCTTATTTACAGTGCAGTCCTAACCATCCATACTCAGAAGTAAGTCCTGTTGAATTCAGTGGGGCTTATTCCTGTTGAATGAAGTTAGTGGTACCAGGGTTGCAGCCTTACTGTATGTATAGACTGCTTGGATCTACAAAGGCTTCCATAGTGGTTTGCAATAAATAATCATAATCATAAATAATGTGTAAAATCTAAGGGCCAGTAGGCAAAAAAGCAAGACAGAGCAAAACATCAGAGCAAAATACCTTTCTTAATCTTAACTGCTGAAGACACAAAGTAGAAAATACAAGTTTTCATTCACTGAGAAGATGGAGTTCTGAACAGATGGGGGCACTACAGAAAAGATTTATCATTGATGCTATCTGGAGCAGGGCTGCATTGGCAAATCTTGAGCCCTGGGTGGATGAAGCTTATGCTAAAGCAGCGCTCTCTCTTGTCAGATCCTGGGTGTTTCTGCATTAGGGAACTTTGAAATATTTGCTTCTTTGTAGGCAGAAAGAGCAAATGAAGAAGGCAAATGGGGGAAAGGATGTGGATGAAAGACAGTTATTTCACGGGACCAAAAATGACCACATTGATGCTATCTGCCAGCAGAACTTTGACTGGAGGATCTGCGGCGTCCATGGCACAGCCTATGGCAAAGGTAACTTCATTCTGTTAAAACTAAGAAGGAAAAGTGGATTGTTTATAATTTAAGGGTGGGAAAGGGTGGTTTGCAAAGAAGGGCGAGACTTATAAGGAAGTATGCTTTAGATTGCAGCCTTAGAGGCAGGACGGTGAGTAGCCTAGATGGGCAGCTGATGTGAGAAAGCTTGAAGAACATTCTACTTTTTGGCCTTACAGTAAAGCTTCTATTGGATGATTTGCTAATGTTACATCTGCTGTACCGCCTTGAGCTAATAGTCAGTAGCCTTACTCTGCACTGCTTCTTTTTTGTCTCTTTCCACTCCCTCTCCCCTTTACAGGAAGTTACTTTGCAAGAGATGCTTCATATTCTGATAACTACACCAAAAGCAATTCTTCTGTCAAGACCATGTTTCTGGCCAGAGTGTTGGTTGGGGAGTTTACGAATGGTGTGCCTTCCTACCTCCGCCCTCCTGCCAAAGACAGCCAGAACTCAGTCTTCTATGATAGTTGTGTGAATAGCACCCAGAATCCATCCATCTTTGTCATTTTTGAGAAGCACCAGATCTATCCTGAATACCTCATAGAATACAGAAATTAGGAGGAGCTTTACTTTGGAGCGTATAACGTTGCTTATCTGTCTTGTGGGCTGCTTTCAGCAGACATTTTATATTAGGACCTTGGTGTTTTACTTATTGAGATACAGATATTTTAAAAGCTTTCCTGGTTAATTTGGGCAGCCTTTTTTAAAAAAACAAACAAACACCAAACCATAATTGTTTTAATGTAAGTTCCTGACACATCTGTGGGTGGTAAGCACCCCATTAGAAAAGACCTAATTTCTCTTTCACAGGAGGGAATAACTTCTTTGAGATAGTCTCAGCAATTCTTCCTTCACCACAGCTGTTTTTTTATTTGTGAGCATAAGATTTGATTGATTAATCATACAAGCTTTAATTGACTAAGACTATGTTAGTGAGAGGGATGCGGGTGGCGCTGTGGGTTAAACCACTGAGCCTCTTGAGCTTGCTGATCAGAAGGTCGGCGGTTCAAATCCCCGCGACGGGGTGAGCTCCCGTTGCTCTGTCCCAGCTCCTGCCAACCTAGCAGTTCAAAAGCACGCCAGTGCAAGTAGATAAATAGGTACCACTCCGGTGGGAAGGTAAACGCCGTTTCCATGCGCTGCTCTGGTTTCACCAGAAGCGGCTTAGTCATGCTGGCCACATGACCTGGAAAAACTGTCTGCGGGCAAACGCCGGCTCCCTCAACAAGATGAGCACCACAACCCCAGAGTTGCCTGCGACTGGATCTAACCGTCAGGGGTCCCTTTACCTATGTTAGTGAAGTGCAACAGGTCTTATGTGAAACCTCTTGAAATGGTTGCGTAATGACTTGCTACGCAATCCAGAGATCCCTGCCTCCATTTCTACCTGCCCCGCTCCCTGCAGGATGCACCTTGAAGCTTGATCTCATCAGTGCCACTTGTGAGTGTCATTTATTTTCATTCCCAACAGTGGAATATTTTGTGTGGCTTGGGTCAGTAGTACTTTATGACTCTAGGCAACGACTGCTGTTTTCCACCAGCAAGCCAAATGCCCCAGCTTACTCTCCTATGACTTTTCTGCCCTTTTATTTTAGCAGTGTTGATTCCAGTTCTCCCTTGGGAGGCTTTTAAGCAGAGATTGGATGGCCATCTGTCATGGGTACGTTAGCTGAGATTCCTGTATTGCAGGGCTTTGGACTAGATAACCCTTCCAACTCCATGCTATAACAAAATGTACTCACTAGGATTTCCCTTTCCTGAAACAGTATCCCCTTAGTTTATCTGCATGACAGCCTTCATCATAAGCAACCTGGGGAAATCAGTGTTGGAAAAGTTTCGGAAACTCGCCATCGCATATATACATGTGCTATATCAACAAAGGTGGCTTTAATCTGGCTGCAATAGTTTGGGCATGCGGAAGCTAAGGAACAATCGGGAGATCACTACAAACTCTTGGCTGTTCTCTGAAATCCTGCCCTTTGCCAACCCACTCTTGAAGTTTAGCTGGTACAACTTGGTGGGTATAGTTGATTGGATGCATCATTTAACTTAAGCCCATTGAGGGGCCTAATTGGTTGAATAACTGATTAATACTGGGATTGGTTTTTTAAACGGCTCAGTTTTTAAGCAGTGAATGTGTTTTGCTGGTCTTGCGTTGAGTTCCTCAAGACTCTGTTGAAACTCTAGTTGACATCCTCTCTAGCTATAGCTGTAAAACATTTCAATATTGTGAGCTTCGAGTGGATACTGTCTGGTATCATTTGGGTTGATCCTTTTCTTGGAATGCGTCTGTCTTTTTAAGTGAATTAAAAGGACCGGAATTAGAAAGGCTCCTGAGTTTGTGGTGCTGTTTTTGCTTTTTAAGATCTCTGTTTCTGTGTTCCGTAAGTTACCCAACAGCAGGACAACACCACTTAATGTTCATTTGGCATCAATCGATATGCTGCGTACAGGATGCGAATTACATTGTTGCAAATAGGGCTGTAGAGAGAAAATAATATTTATGAATGTTAGAAGGATGCTGGAATGAAGTTATATGGCTTTAGCAGAAATGTTATAAAGAATTAAGTAAAAATAGATGGTTAATGGGTCAAAGTGGAAATTTAAGATTAGATTGTGTTAAGATAAATTATAGAACAAAAATTAAGAAAGATGGAAAGGATTTGCTGGAATAGCTAATTGAACAAGAATACAAAAAAGGGAGGTGTGAGGAGGTCGATGATACAAGTAAATGAAAGGTAGAGATATGGAGATATTGGATGTGTTTTTACATGTTTTTGCTTTTCTTGTCGTTTTGCTGTATTTTTTTGTTTTTGTTTTTATTTTTGATGTATTGTGAACTTTTTATTGTTTCTTTTTTCTTTAACTATTAAACCTTTAATAAATATCATTTTTTAAAAAAGAAGAAGAAAAAAGAAAATAATATTTGAAGAAAGAGGAGTAGAAAAGAGTGGTGGTTGGTTGGCATTAACCAGGATAAAGTATGGAAGCCATTAGTTTATGGGCAATCCAGTAAATAACTTTTCTTGAAAAGATGTTATTTTGGGGGGACTGGAAAGAGAAACTAGGGGCTTCCTAGAAAGGGAGAATGATATACATGCTCCAAGCCAGAGAGCCATATACAGAAGCTGCTTTTGGCATGTTGATGTCTCTGGATTAGTGGGTGTTGGGAGTACAGTAGATGGACATCCTAATGTAAAGGTGACCCATTCATACTTCATTGTTTTCACTTGGATGTTCATTCTGGTGCAACTAATTACATATAGCTTTATGCTGCTAGAGTTGGATTGGGGCCACGGAAGATGTTTCCAGTAGGAGAAAGTACTGCCATCGGTCAGAGGTGCTCTGTAGGGCTACAATAAAAAGATAACCATGTGAGTTTGGGGAGAGTTGTGATGAAGATGGGCTACTTCTGCCAAAGGATAAAATAGCACCATAAAGAAACACAGGAAAAACGATAAGTATATACGAACTCTTTCAAAATACCTTTATTTTGTAAATGTAAAAAAATTGTCAATTAGACAGTAAAAGCAAATATACAAATGCTTCACATTTAGTAATCAATAATAGCAGTTTAAATGCTTGTTTACTCAGAAAAGTATTGTTAGAGTCATCATGAAGAAGCACAGTTCCTTTCCCCAATTATTATTAAATGTGCAGTTTAAAGCAGAGACAAAAGAATTCCTTGAAGGTGCTTCATTGTAATAATCATAGCAACTAAAATAATCACTCTGTCACAGCAACAGGTTTTCTGCTTTTCTTTCTGGCAATTAGCCACAAATCCATGTGAAAAGCATCTTGTATGGAGCAGACTTCAGCCAAAACAACACACATTCCAAAAACATCTATATTTTGCCCCCCTCCTCCTCCTCCCTGAGATCTTAATGTGAAAGTTTCATAGTAGAGTTCTGCCACCCTGAAACTTGATGACACTTTGATCTTTCAGAAATTGTGTTGCCATTTGCCATGTCTATAGTGCTTACTGCGCATGCTGTAATTATCCAATGGACAAATTAATGTGATGTGTTGACTTTCTCATTGCCAACTACCTTGTGGCTGAGTAAGTGGGAGCTGAGCTGTAGATCTTTAATCATATATGTCTGTCTAGTTCAGGCATCAGAAGAGGGCTAGGAGGAGATGCCTGATGCAAATTTCAAAAAGGGGGTATGCAGAGGATGCAAGCTTCACCTGTTTTTGTCTCCCTGCACTTGGTTAACAGAATTACCTCCCCACACCCATCCTTCATAGTTGGCTCTGATCCCAGAAGTGAGACAGCCTTGGGAGAAAAAAGTGTGAAGCAGTGGAATAGTGGAGTTTATTTTTGAGAGGTCTCTGCTCCCCTCACTTATGTACCTGTTTCATTGTTAATAGTTGAGGCGCGCACACCGCTGTATTGCTAATAATAATTTTAAAAGGTTAAGCAAATACGGCTGCACAAGTCATGTCCATTTTGGCCCTGAGATTCTTTAATGAGGGGCACATTCTAGTTCCAGCACTCATAAGGAAAATTGTGCCCTGCTTTTTAAGTTATACATCTGGCGTTGTGTAAAGCTCCAGTTGTGTTGTTCATGAGTGCCCCCTATACCTCAACATAACTGCACTATTCTTGTGAATTTCGGTTCTTAGGAAGAAGGCGCTACCATTACCAGCATATGTCAGTTCAGTAACTGGCATTGGAGAATGTAAATCCTAGAATAATATACAGTCGTGCCTGTCTGGCAGCAGAATGGGCTTGGGCAAAAGCAGTTCCCCTTCCTGGCCTGCAAGCCTAAATGCCCACCCCCAGGGTAAATGCCCCACAGCACAATGGAAGGTGGAGAGAGGAATTTCCTGTTCCACAAGCAAAAGTCCACTTCTGTTATGTCACTCCTGTAGTGTACCGCAAGCACTGTGAATATGTATTTCAGAGACTTATTTGTTGATTTCTTTTGCTTTTTACTAGGAACTGAACAAAATCTTGATTTACTTGGAAGGTAAGCTCAAGTTGATTGATGCAGGTGCCACTTCTGAGTCAAAGTGTTTGGGGGAGTTGCAGTTGTAACTGGTTAACCACTCTCAATATTTTCAGTTTTTAAAAGTTGCCTTCTACTGAGGAAGAGCCATACCTTAGTGATGTAGTGCATTCTTGGCATGCACAGAGTCCCAGGTTGAGTCCCTGTCATCTCAGCTGTGACAGGCTCCTGCCTGGAACAGTGGAGAGTTGCTGCTAGCCAGAGTACACACACAATCTTATAATACTTGGACCTCTGGTCTGACTTTGTGTGAGGCAGCTTTGTAATTTTTCCAGCGCAATTCGTGGGACAGCCCATTAACTGAAAAGGTTAATGAATGTGCTCTAAATCATAGACTATTTCTGCAGCCAGTTAACATTCACAAAATGCCTCTATTGTTTGGTAAGATTAGACAGTTAAATTGCATTTGTCAAGATTGACTTTGGGAACTGGAGGATATCCTCATAAAACTGTACTTTCGATGGCTTGGTTTTAAAATACCCCATTTAAGCTCCTGTATTCTCTGGTCAAAGGCCGCTGAAACGACTAGGCCTTATTTTTGTGCAGACAGGACTGCATTGTAATACAACTTGCCCCCTTAAGTATTTTTCAACAGTAGCCCAATTTACTTGATATCTCTCAAGATAACAGAACATAAATTTTCTGCTTTCAAAAAGGAGGGGGAAATGTTACTTTGCGGCTTTTCTTGTGGCATAAAATGACTGCAGTTTTGCAGTTGCTACTCATTTGTAAAGTAACCTTTTCACCCCTAGGGAAACTAAACCTACCAAACCATTCCTCTCCTATTATAGAAGACAGTAAGAAGCTGTAGATCAGTGGTGTCCAAACTTTTTTCAAAGAGGGCCAGATTTGATGAAGTGAAGGGCCGTGAGGGCCGACTGAAGGGCTAACCAAAGTTGTTAACCTTTTCTTATGATTTTACCCCAGGAAATAAACTGCCACGGGGCCAGATTAAACCGACTGGTGGGGCCGGATTAGGCCCCCGAAACGGACTTTGGGCATGCCTGCTGTAGATTTTCTGCTACTAAGGCCAATGTGGATTTGTAACTATTTTCTCAAAATAGCTATAATCAATTGCATACCTGTGCTGCAGACACTCACATAGGATGGCTGCACAAAGGATTTACTTGGATAAACAGAACAAATTGCTCCACCTTGTTCCTTGGTCTGGTTAGCTCCAGGATAGCACTTAAATTTGAGGCCAAAGTATATAAAATACTATCAGTGTAGCATATATGTTGGGTGCCAGTTCTGCTTATTTATTTATTTACATGCACACAACCAAGTTCAAACTCAGGCCTGTTTTGGAAAACCAAAAGTTTTTCAGAGTACATCTCAAAAATGAAAATTGTCAGTAATGTGCGACCTGCCTGATTGTTGGCACCCGTCTGTCTCACGAGGCAATGGAGTGTGTCTCCAAGGGTGAAGTCAAACAGCTGTGTTAGCAGCACTAAAGTGACTTCCCTGGGGCACAAGCCTGGGCAGCGTGTGTGGAGGTCCTGTGCCCTTGGCCTCGCTGATGTGCTCCAAAGGAAAACATAATCTTCAGGGGTAAAATTATTCTCTTATTTTGACACCTAGAGGTAAAACAGTTCGAGTTGGAAAATGTCCTCTGTTCTTGCTATGGCTACCCATGTCTACTCAGATGCACACATCCTATGGTTGGAGAAATTATTGATTTTGGGCATAGTTCAGTTGGTAGAGCATGAGACTCCTAGCCCCATGTTTTGGGGTTGGACTGGATGACCCTTGCGGTCCCTTCCAACTCTGATTCTGTGATTAGACAATGAAAACTGAAATGTGTGAGAGAAGGGCTTGGTTGGATTCTGAAGATTGTGCTTGCAAGAAAACCATGAGAGAAGAACAGAACAACATCTGTTAAGTACAAAGGCCGGAGAGAAAGATAACGTTGTTGTGCCTCATGATTAAACCAGTAGAAGCAAGGGTCAGATATGGGCATAACTGCCCTTCTGCTTGTAAGTGTATAAATGTTTGTGCTGTTTTCATATTTGGTGTACCACTTCATAGTACTTGTTGGTTGAGGTGGTACTGGCCATGTAACACCTAATTCCCCCCCCCCTGTTTTACTGGTAATTGATGTCTGGATTCTGTTGGCCGTTCCAGGCAACACCCAAAGTATTGGGTTTTGACTGCGATATTTCCCCAACATTATTGAATTCAATGGCTCTTGCTCCTAGTAAGTGGGGTTATGATTACATCCGAAGGCCCTTTCCGCAGAAGTTCACCTTCTGCATCGTATGTTATGTTGCTTTCTGAGCTTCCATTTTGTCCTGAGATTTCCCTGTAGAATTGCAGGAATTGGTCTGGATAGGGCAATTTGGCCTCCTAAGATTTCTTGTAATTGTCATAGAAATTCTCTTCTAAGGAAATGTAAGTAAGTTTTCCTTTTTAAAGATCATAAACTGCTAATTATGTAATGGAATTGTAGAGTTGGAAGGGACCCTGAGGATCGCCTAGTCCAAACCCCTGCAGTGCAGGAATATATAGCTGTTCCTTACGGGGATCAAACCTGCGCATTGCCATCACCAATTTCTAACCAGCTGAGGACAAAGTGATTTTGCTGTTGCTTGTAGACAACCATTAGGAGAAGTTGCCTGATCAACATGCCAGCACAAATCAATAGTTATTTACACTCGAAGAATGGGCACAAGTCATCACGGAAGCTAAGTGGATCTCAAGCATCCACATCCATGTTGCAGCAGAAGTGGAGCAAGAATTGCAGATCTCTTGCACTGCTTCTTCTGTTTTGTTGCATGTATGGACTGGCTTTCTGTGGCAGAGGTTGGAAGGGAGTGCTAGCTCATTAGCCTACCTGTATTCTGAACTTTGCCATTAGTTCTTAAGGCAGCCCCCCTTGCAATTTTGATAAAGTTAGCCTGCTCTGCACCCAACACAGAAATGGAGGATACCAGCCTCTTAGCAGCCTAGTTTTTTACAGTGCCTTTTTACCAAATGGGCTGGTGTAAGGAGGGCAAATCACCCTCTCCTTCAGTTCACTTGCCCACATGGAATTCCTGGTTGGCTATGGATTTTCAGTGAGTTCTTAAATACAAGGCTGTCTTACAAATCTTTTCTGGCCCAGCTAAGATATGGCAGAATCCAATAGGCACCTGTTATTTTCAAGGAAGGTAAAAGGGGAAGGCTCTTCCAGCACATAGTTTGCAGCAGTCATACATCACACAGCAAGCTGGCATCTCCTTAGAAGGCACATCGAGATTGCTGGCCGTTTTGCTCTATCGAGGAACCACCTTGATGTAGACTCCATTTTGTGGTCCGAGTGTCATGTGAGATTTCACCTTCAAAGGAATCTGGATTGGGTGCAGAAACAGAACACAAAAAACAAGAGGTAAACTTCCCCTAAGCCCACTGCTCACTAAATGCCAGGCAGGTCTCCTTAGAACAGGTGTGATGTTGCTGAGCTACACCTCTCACCACCCCAGACATGGGTCATGTTTGTTGGGGCTGATGTAAGCTGTAGCTTTGCAGCATCTGGAGGGCTAAACGTTCCTTATACCTGCCTTAGATGAATGTAGTTGTCAAGGGATGCAAGGTTCCCACCCTTCCCTTCCAGCAAAATACTTGTGTGAGCTTTGAAGGGGCTAGAATTGTAGTCATGAAGCTGCTGCAGAAGAAGCTTGTGTTCCTTGAAACCATCTCAGGGTTTTCCCAATCAGAAGACCAGAAATGGCAGAACCAGTGCTTCCCCCCCACCAAGGGGTACTTCTTCTTGTTGAGAGGTGTGGCACTGTAACAACTTCATGGTGAGATTCAGGTAGGTAGCCATGTTGGTCTGACGCAGTCAAAATATATTAAAAAATTAAAAAAAATGTCCATTAGCACCTTAGAGACCAACTAAGTTTGTTCTTGGTATAATCTTCTGAAGAAGTGTGTATGCACACAAAAGCTTATACCAAGAACAAACTTAGTTGGTCTCTAAGGTGCTAATGGACAATTTTTTTATATATTTCAACTTCATGGTGAGTTACTGGCACCTATTTTGGGGGGAGGAAGGGGGTAGCACTGGGCAGAACCAATCTTCCTTTGTTTCATTCTTCTGCTGGGTTTGTGTTGGGTGTGTTTGAGAGTCTAGTCTCAGTTAATGTGTGGAGATGGCAGCAGAAGCTAGACTAAGGTTACCAGATTTTTTTCAATGAATCTGGAGACACTTTTAAACTTCAATGCATTTTGTCAGGGGATTTGTAAATCCAGGGACTGTCCCCAGGAAACGGGGATGTCTGGTAACCTTACGCTAGACCTGGCCAGCTTCCTGCTGAACTGATGGGCACACCCTATAAGTCATATATCTCCAGCTATATGCAAATGGTAGCTTTGCAGAGGTTCCTCATTCCCAAGTGTCAATGCTGAAATAAGTTCCATGAGTGTAGAAAGTATGAAGGTTACAGTAGGGGGTTAGAGCACTGGGCTGGGATACCAAGGGTCAAATCCCCCATTCAGCTATGAAGCTCGTTGGGTGGCCTTGACTAATCACTCTCAGCCTTACCTAACTCATGGGGTTGTTGTGAGGATTCAGCGGGGAGAATCCTTTACCTTGACCTCTTTAGAGGAAAGGTGGAATATACCGTATTTTTCGCCCTATAGGACGCACTTTTTCCCCTCCAAAAATGAAGGGGAAATCTGGGTGTGTCCTATGGGGCGAATGCAGGCTTTCGCTGAAGCTTGGAGAGCTCTCCAGGCTTCGGGAACACATCCACAGCCTAGGCAGCCCTGCGGGAGTTCCACGCAGGGCTCCCCATGCTGCGGATAGCAGCCTGGCGGGCAGGGCACCCTGAAGCAGAGCGCCCCGCCCGCCGGACAGACATCGGCCAGCCCCACAAGCTTGGGGGACAGCAGGGAGGCGCAGCGCCGCCATCCCGCTGTTCCTCGACCTGGTTCGGTTTCCCTGACCTGCTTTTGGGGGGGGGGAAATAAAGGGGAAAAAAATTCCTTTATCTCCCCCCCAAAAAAAACTAGGTGCGTCCTATGGGACGGAGCGTCCTATGGGACGAAAAATACGGTAGATGCAGTGAATATGTGCTCATTTCCTATTTGTGGGCTTCGCATTGGATTGCCATTGATGTCTGGTTGGGTACTCTGGGGAACTGGATGCTCTTCTGGGTAGATCTTTGGTCCAATCCTGCAGTACTCCACTTAGGACCATATACGGGGGTGCCAAATCTGCTTTTGAAAGATTGGTTAGAGATCCGCACAACTGTGCTGAAGACAGGCAAACAAAGACTTCTCCTTTGTAAAAACAACTCCAATTCCCACACACAGTTCCCCTCTATAATATTCCGCTGAGCAGAGAGACATAGTTCCGGGAATCGCTACAAACCTCTGTCTTGGAGCAGGCTTTGAACTCAAACTTCTGCAAGATTCTCAGAAATGCCACCTTTATTTCCATCAAAGCCAGCTGGGTGCCAATGCATCCACGAGGGCCAGCCCCAAAGGGGAGGTAAGAAAGTGGGGGACGCTGCAGCTTGGCCTCTGCTGTAAACCTGTGAGGCAAGAAAACCAATTGATTAAAATAAACCAAAAAACTTAAAACTGTATTTTTTCACTTTGTAGTGTGCCCGATCTTCTTGTAAGCAAAATGGAATGCCAGTGAGACCCCAGCCACATTAATCTGCCTGTTTGTTTGTTCTTCATTTTTAATAAACACATAAGCAGCTCCTCTTGCCAACAGATTAAGGGTGGGACAGCAGGACCAGCCCACCAACAGTGCAAGCCACCCCAACAGCTTAAATTTGCATCTCTACATATAAATTAGCATGTGCAAAATTGGGGGCCTGTTCCCAAAGTCTTAAGTAGCTAGCCACGCCCGTTTCATGCATGCATCTTCCCAGTTTTAGCAGGTTGGGGCAATGGTAATTGTACCTAATGGGGGAAAGGACACCATGTCGTCACTCCTGCCAGTTTCAACAGAAAGCGAGAGGTCTACAGCAGGGGAAAGGAACAGCTTTGCTCCTCCAGATGTGGGATGACAGCTCTCATCATCCCTAACCGTTGGCCATGCTGGGCTGGGGGAAGTTGGAGCCCAACAACATGTGGAGGGCCTCAGACATTCCCTATCTCTCTCCTAGAGGGATGCGTACCAAGAGAAATTATTGTGTGGTGGCCAAAGGTATTATGGGAATATGTACAGCATTAGGCTAGCACAGGAGATGGTTGATTCAGGACCCCCGTACAGCAGCCAACGAGGGTGAAAGTAGTACTGTGAAAAAAAGTATTTGCACCAGCATTTCCATCCTGTACCTAATGGCAAAGTGCAGAGCAGCACTCACAGAACTGTAGAGTTGGAAAGGGACCATGAGGGTCCAATCTCCTACAATGCATGAATATTTGGCCCAGCGTTGGTCTGGAACCCATCACCTTGAAATTAACAGAAGAAATTAGAAGAATGTTGGAATGAAGTTATATGGCTTTAGTAGAAATGTTATAAGGAATTAAGTATAAATAGATTAATAGAGTATTAAAGGGAAAATAAGGTTAAAATGTGTTAAGATAATTACAGGATAGAAGACAGGGGAAGATGGAAAGGAATTGCTGAAATAATTAATAGAAGTGGAATACAAAAAGGGAGGTGTGAGGAGGCCGTGGAAATAAGTGAAAGAAAGATAAGATATTGAAAAAAATTCTTCTTTTTTTAATGTGTTTTTAAATTGTTTTTGTTTTGTCTTGTTAGTTTAATGTTTTAGTGTTATGTAGTGTTTTTGTATTGTAATGTACTGTTTTTTCTTTGTGTTTTTTTTGTAAGTGTTTAAATTGTTGTAAAAGTAATAAATATTATTAAAAAAAGAAAAAGAAAAGAAATTAACAGTCTTTGTGCTCTACCAATTGAGCTATCCCAGCTGGCTACATTACAGACACCACTGTCTGTGTGACTGTGTCCCAACAGCGACATATAGGCTAGATCTTGGTGGGAGTAAAAGTGCATTAGGCCAGGGGTGGGCAGAGCCAGAAGCTAAGCTGGGTGTATCAATGAACGTAAAGTTCTACTATAAACACCCCTGTCAATCCTCCCTCCAAGCCAGCAAGGGTCCAGATCAGAATTCAAGGACACAAGTCTCAAGAAGGGTGTGAAGCAAGGCTGGTGGGGATCTGGCCTGGGGAGAATCTCAAGGGCCAGAGAGAGGTCTGCAGGGCAGCATTTGACACCTGGGCCTGGTCTATAAGAAACTATGGTTAAAATAACTGCTCACGTGAACCTGGCCAAAGCCTGCAAAAGTAAGAGGGCACCGTAATCCTTGGTCCTACAGAAGAAGTAACGGAGAAATCAAGGCCCACCAAGTGAGCTATTTCTATCTCTCTTTCACAAATCAATGCCCTTCCATTATCGGCTGTGTAAGAAACGGGTTTGATTTTACTGGGTCTGTTCAAAGGTAGAACAACAGACCACATACCTCTCAGGAATAAACTTCTCAGGTTCCGGCCAGATCTTTGGATTGTAATGGAGGTGTCCAACAGCAAATTCCATTATAGCACCAGCAGGTATACGTTGCTTCAAAACTAAGCAGTCTTTTGCTGCTTCCCGGGTAAACCTACAAGAGCAAAGGTGGCACGTTTCAAGAATGCAAAGACAAATGCACAGGGAAGACGTACTTGGAGAAGCTTCTGCATGTAAACCTTTCAAGGATGGGCTGCTTTGAGTGAGGGAGGCATGGCAAGGATCACTGAAAGGAAACTCCCAAGTGGAGAGAGAGCAGGCTGCTTAGATAAAGTGGCTGCCCAGGTCACTTAGTTTGGCAACCTGCTTGCAGGGAGCATATTTTGACACTAAAAGGACTGCCATTGGCTTCCAGTTTGTTTTCTAGCACACTTCAAAGAGTAGTTGGGAAACAAAAATATATTTCCCCTTGAAGTGTGTGTGTGTGTGTGTTTAGAGCAGAAGCAAGTGGGAGGAACACCCCCTTGTCAATTCCAGTGGGGTGGGTGAAATGGCACCCACAGCAGCTCTCCCTGGCAGTATTCTTCTGAATACCAGCTGCTGGAAACTGCAGGATGGGAGAGTAACCGTTGAGCTCAAGTCCTGCTTGTGGGCTTCCCACAGGTATCTTGCTGGCCACTGTGAGAACAGAATGCTAGACTAGGAAGGACCACTGGCCTGATCCAGCAAGGCTTTTTTTAAATGTGAGATCCTCCTCTCATTCTGCCTACCATACCCCTGAAAACCCTGCCTCCCAGTTTTGCACCTATAAATATGTCAGCAGAATTTGGGTGCCCTTTTGGCTTAGTTGTATTTCTGCTTTAAAATCTCTCTAAACGGCTTGGGGGCAAGCGCATCTTTAAGTATTGCCATGTCCCATATGCCAAGATCCTCAGAGGAGGCCTTGTTCCAGGTCCCGCTACCTTTGCTTCCCCTTCCTCGCCAAGGACCAGGCCACCTCTGTGGTCTCTTCCCAACCACATTCATCTGACACTGGTGTTTGTTATCCTTTAGGCACCAGGTTACAGCTGCCCTCTCTTTCTCAAGCTTTTAATATCAGATAAGATGAACCTGCCTCTTTCTATTTTTAGTTGCTGCCGTTTGAACTGTGAATATTTTTAGGTTGTTTTGTTTCAGTCTGTTTTGAAAGTTCATCTTTGCATTGTTTCAAAATCAAATGTCTGCAGCGTAGGCAACCTGGCTGGTAAAAAGGTAGGGTAGACATTTTTACGAAAAAGAAAATAAATAAACGTTGGCCTCGGCACAGGCTATGCAGTCACAGTATCTCAGCCCTGCAGGGCTCAAAAAGCACTTGTTTTGAAGGAATTACGCACCAGACATCTCGTCCCTTCTCCTCTCTGCAGCGGCACCTGTTCAGCCAATCCCAGAGCAACACTAAGCCTTTGGAAAGGGCTAAAACAGCCCCAGTGTTTTTATATTGTATTATGTTATACAATCTTGCTTTGGCAATCCTTCTGGATCAAATGGCAGGACTGAAATCAAATAAAGCGCAGCAGCAGCAATCCAGCCGCTGCCAGATTCTGAATACCCAGTCCTGGCCTGAGAAAGCATGCACAACAGATTCTGGAAGAGGGATTTCTACTAACCTGAACGCTGGTGGATACATGCGCAGAGTCTCTGCAATCACCATGTCCAAGTAGGGGAGTTCATGTATGTTTTCGTAGTCAGGAAGACCCTGTAAAAGGTGGGGGTGAGGGTAATTACTTTTTACTATGTTTTATTAAGATATTTATCTCCACCTTACTTTCTCTGATGAGACCCCTTAAGGTGGAAAGGACCACCATAAAGGACCATCATAAAGATGCAGAAGAAGACAATCTCCCAGCCAGCTAGACTTTACTGCTTACCCCACCCACATAGGGGAAGGCCCAGAGCATCTACTTTGCATGTAGAAGCTCTCAGGTTCTCGTGGGGTGGGTGGGTGTTTTGGATCAGGTTAGCTGTATTGATTTGTATGCTGTTGGTGGGTTATTGTCATTGTCTTGTTGGGCTGTGTATGTGATAAAGGGGAGCCATACTGGGGTAAAGGCGTCTTATCACACCATAGGCCAACCCCAATCTCTCTCACCACCAAAGAAACACAAATGAACAACAGAGAACTGGCATGAGCAACGCTGACACGAAACCCTACATACATTAAGCAAAATAGAAACATTGCCACCCGACCCCACCCATCTTCCCCCACCTCCACCCCTTTCCCCCCACTAATGTCTCAACAAATGAAACTGATTTGTAAAAATGTTACATGGAAAAAACACGAGAGACATTACACATACTTCTGTAAAAAAAAGAAGAAAGTCTCAGGTTCAGTCCCTGGCATCTTCCAGCAGGGCTGGAAAGACCTCTGCTCATAACCTTGGAGCTTTGCTGCCAGTCAGTGTAGGCAGTAGTGAGCCAATTGGTCTGTCAAAGGCAGCTTCCTACATTCCTATATTTTATGCATTCCGTAGTCCGAACTCCCATGATGAATACACTCATGCTAAAAAAAAATTATTGCAGAATGTGGGTGGCATATCCCCCCCCCCCGAACTCCACATTTTTTCTAGTATTTCATCCTGATTTATTCCTGCCCACTTTTGCCGCTGGGAAAGGCCCAGAGGCATGTGAGTAATTTCCCTTTCCTCCTCCTCCTCCTCTAGGGAAATTGCTTCAACAGCACAAATTACAGCTCTGTCTTACCAGGCGAGGGCAGCAAAACTATACGCAAGACCTTGACGAATCAAGCAGAGAGCACTTGGAATTCTAGCAGGCTCTCCTAAAAATTCACGTAGGATAAACTGCTACAAGACACCTTATGCTCAGATAAGCCAAACGTTCTATGAAGATTTGAGGGAGCCCATATGGGCTTAATCATGGGATCCAAGATGGTCTGTTGTTCCTTCAGTTGTGAATTTGGCTTTGTTGCATACTTTATTGATCTCGTCTCACACATTATTAAAAGTACAAAGGAGACGCAGTCCTAGTGCTAAGAGAGAGGAATGAGGCAGCAAAGCAAAGAGTGACTTATGTGGCTTTTTTCACCATCAAGAGCAGGAATGGATAAGGGTGAAGACACACCCCTGGGGGACTTTATCCTTTCGACTCCATCCAGCCATGATTGCTGAATATGGACCTGGGAATGGGGGAGGAATTCAGTGGAGTTCACATTTAAGGACGAATCTATCAATCTGCACTTCTTGAAATGATTCTGAAAACTGAAACACAGCCATCCTTCAAAATTCACACTTCTCCAAATTGATGTGGAGAACTGAACTTGTGGAAAAATGAGGGCCCATTCCTATCTGCTTCACATGTTGAAAGGAAGCAATGCATGAATCAAGATTGCACATGTGTTTTCCACCTAGGCCTCTATGTACTGTGCTGCCACTCGTCTTCACTTTGACAGGGAGAGCCATAAATGACACATCCACGTGACATGCAGGAAAATGCGCAAATTATCTGTACACTTTCTGTTTCTGCTTCCTCGTTTTTTGTAATTGCATTTTTAATCCCCACTGCTCAGTACACAATTCCCTCCCAGCCCATCCAAATCCCCATGAGGCTGAGAGTCACTGCTTGAGCTTCCCAACAGAGAGTGGATTTGCGCCTGGGTCTCGCCTAACACAGTCCAAGATAATGACTTTATCACAAATTTGCAAATCAAGTGTGATAGCAAGTGTGTGTGGGAGGGTGTGCGTAAATCAACTCTAAATTTGATTCACATCCACAGAATCCAGCACTGTAAAAGAATATTTAGGATCAACATTGACCTCATTGTCCTCCTCCCTGAAATGCATTCCTGTTGACTGCAGCCAGGGTCAGCAAAAATGCCAGCAATATTTCTTGATCACATGGATCAAAGTCTACTGAGAGATCAAAGAATGCAGCCTGGACAGCTGACCTTTGCCAGCTTCTAGGAGCAGGATAATCTACCAACAAAACTAGATCCATCTCTATTTCATACTCAGGCCAACGGAGGTCAAGGAAACCTGATAATGTTAGGCAACATTAGAGGTGCTTCACTGCAAACTTTTGCAATAACCTTATTGATAGATGCAAGGGGTTACAGACCGAGCAGAATTCTCACACATACAGTATTTTGCAGCAGGGCTTTGCCCTTAACCAGGTCTTGTGTTTAAAGAGAGTGCAGAGAGACGGTAATAATGAATTTTAAAAGTCCACCTAAAATGCAAAGGTTGGACTTTTAGAAGTATGGAAGCTGTGAGAATCGTGGGGAAGGAAGATGATGGCCAATTGTGAAGGGGAAGGGCTGCAGCTCAATGGTAGAGACCATGCTTTGCATGCCAATGTTCCTGATTCAATGCACAGAATCTCCAGCAAGGCTACAACAGTCCTGTTGGGAACCCTGCTAGTTGGACCAAGGAGCTGATTCAATATAAGGCAGGTTTCTATGTTCCTATGTTATAAAAACATGTACGTATTCATAAAAAGCACACACTTCGGTCCCCCTGAGACTCTACCACTTCAGAGCACAGGTGTCTTTTTGAACATTTGAATTCTCTCCCATTTCTAAAGCTCATTACAGTGGTACCTTGGGCTACAGACGCTTCAGGTTACAGCCTCCGCTAACCCAGAAATAGTACCTCACGTTAAGAACTTTGTTTCAGGAGGAGAACAGAAATCGCATGGCGGCGGCAGTGGGAGGCCCCATTAGCTAAAGTGGTATCTCAGGTTAAGAACGGACCTCCAGAACGAATTAAGTTCTTAACCCGAGGTACCACTGTACTTAAAGAAAATATAGTGTGTGCGGGAAAGCGGTTTCCAGTTTAAGGCCCCCTCAAGTTTAAAGCAGTTTCACAACACTTTAAATGGTCATGGCTTCCCCTAAAGCATCCTGGGAACGGCAGTTTGTTAAGGGTGCTGAGAGTTGTCAGAAGAATCCCTATTCCTTTCGCAGAACTACAATTCCCAATCCCTTCACGCAGGGAACTCTGGAGTTATTTGGGAAGAGGAATTGTTTATTAAACCACATTCAGCACTGTGGCTCTGTGAGGGAAATAAGGGTCTCCTAACAGAAACCCTTGTACACTACAGTTCCCATGATTCTTTGGTGCAGGGGGAACCATGGCTGTTTAAGGTGATACAGTACTGCAGATGGGCCTAATGTTCTCCTTGATGTACTACTTTTTCACCTTTATGAATGGAGGGTTCCCCAAGGAGACATAAAAGCACTCACTGCTCCAACAGCATTCTGAAGTATTGCAATCACAAGAAGGCATGCATGGATATGTAAATCATCCCTAAACCTGAGAATAAAGAATCTAAAATCCTACAGTTTGCAAGAAGGAAGGACTCTGTAAAAGGGAGGGGAGGGAGAAGGAAGGAAGGAAACATGACATTTACTTAATACTGGCTTTTGTCCTATTGCTCCTCCACTAATACCACTTTCAGAGAATTCTCCCCCTCTCTAAAACTAGTTTTGTGTATTTCCACCATTTCACTGTTGCTCAATGAATGAAATGTTTAAACACCTAGCAAAACCAACTGAATTCCTTGTTTTACTTGCCATACCTTTTTATTTATAAACCAATGGTCTGATGTAGACAGTGGCATAGCGTGGGGGGTGCAGGGGGGGCCGGCCGCACCATCTGGGGTTAGGGCAAATCCACAGGTTAGGGGGCGCAAATCCATGGGTTAGGGGGTGCAAATTACTTGCCTTGCCCCGGGTGCTGACAACCCACGTTACGCCACTGGATGTAGAGGATTCAGCTGAGATCCGTGGAAAAAAGAGACACTTAACTGTCTGGAAGAGGAGTGGGCAAAAGGTAAAATGTGGTGTTTGGATCATCTGCAGAAGGTCTGCAAGAGTTTCTGACTCCAGACAATCTCAATAACAAATCAACTTTTCCTATCTAAGGTAGCCTGCTGAAATGAAGAAAGCTAACCGGAAAAGGAATGGCTGTGTGATCGGTTGAGGTCTGAAAACAAACTCATGGGCTAGCTGCACTCTGTACATTAATTCTAACTATTGTACCTGGCTGGTTGGTAGATCTTGGCATTCTGGTACAAAGCAAAGTGAACCAGACAAGCCTGGAGTCTGCCCTACCCTCGTCTAGAAGGAAATTCCCCACATCTATGTTGGCTTTGGATTTACACCCTTGAAATTCATGAAAACAAATTGTAACTTGTCAATTATATGGCTCGTGAAATACTTTCCATGATTGCCCCACATAAATTAATGTTAATTAAAATGAATGGAACAAGTTAGCCATGACAAACGTAAGTCTGTCAATTCACTGGGGAGTGAAGCACATCCCTCTGTGTTGGGGTGCACTTCACTCTGCAAGTACTCCCAACTATGAAAATGAGTTTGAGTCACTCTCTTTTTTTTTAGCTTAGAAGAATCACTTCTTGTCCCATGCCCAGAGGATTGTAAAGATCGACTTGGTTTGTGCCATGGGAGGTCATCTGCAAAGATATCATGGGCCCAAGTTAATACAATTCCCATCAACACAAGCAGCTTGGTCAATGGTCGGGGTTGATGGGAGTTGTAGTTCAAAACATCTCGACAGCACCAGGTTGGGATGACCTGACATATTTAGCCACCCTATCCCAGCAGAAAGTATGTGAAAATGATTTGACATTTCCAGCATTGCCTTTCGTACAAGGGAAGCTGCAATTCTGGATCCTACACTCCTAAATATTACCTTACAAGGTTTCATTTTTCTTCTTTAA